ATTATAATTATATAAAATTTTAATTTTTTATTTTTTATTTTTAATTATTAAAATTTATCACAATTTTTTAAATAAAAAATAATTATTTTTAATAAATATGAGTAAATATTAATTATTAAAATTAAAAAAAATTAAATAATTAAAATTTTATGTAAATATAATATATATTAAATTTATGTGTAAGCCGTACCCTACTATTCTCAAATTGACTGGGGAGACTTTCATGTTTTGGGCATGTTTGGTTCACAAGAAATTCGGAAGAAGTTTCTTTGGAAGTCATGAAACTGTGACATGTGGCTTGCACTCTAAAGAAAGCATTTCAGAGGTAATATAACCGATTATTTACAAGGGGGCATGGGCTCATTACATCTCTGATAATTCCCACCAGTTTCCTTGCAAACCAAACACTCCCTTAATTTAAGGAACTCCCAATGTGGCCCTCACTCTACGTTTTGCAGAGTTGGAGACAACAGACAGCCTACATATAATAGATAAGTTCGGTCGAAATTTAGGCTGCACTAGTCGTTGGATGATTGAATGACACAACGTGCACGGCATGGGCATGACTATGGGCGTAGATAAATTTCCTTGTTACTTTATCTTATATATATTTTCTTTACAGAAATATATTGTATAGTCCGATTTTAAATCTGATTGCACAATTCTAGCTCTATATATTTTTTTGATATTAATTTTTTAGTATCTGATAATCATATTGAATCTCGATTAATTCAAAAATGAATCACGTTGGATTCATAAAAAGAAACTCTCTTAATATTTATTTTTTTATTTATAAAACTCAAATTTAAAATCTTATTTAAGAAATAAAATCTTTTTTACGCGAATCAATAAATTATTGATATTTTAATTATATATTGATAGAGAAGTTTATGAATTTCGAATGATTCTCTCTCATTCAATTGTCTTTTCTTTTTTTTCTTTTTTTTCCTACAATGTGACACACATAAATTGCAAAGAAACGAAACACATATTTTTTATCATGTGAGAGTTCAATATTGTCAATGCAAGTGTTTGACCAATCAAGTGACTTTTGGTTTCTTTTGTTTGGATTTGTGTATACTTTCGTTGCGTGATTAGCGGAAGTGAAGATTTCGGTTTCCGGCATTAGGCAATCTGCTCTAAGGATGGCAACGGGTCCTCACGGGGGCGGGGACCCCCTCCCCATCCCTATCCCCATCCCCGCCAATGGCGGGTACGGGGATCCCCATGGGGATTTTTAGCGGAGGGTCAAAAATTAGCTCCGTCCCCATCTCCGCGGGGAATAATAGGTTCTCGCGGGTATTCGGAGTCCCCACCAATAAAACTACCACCTATTTTACTGCTTGTTAATCAAAATTTTCGCTGCTATTTTACTTTAACATTTAACATTGTATTTGGGTTTGGGTTTGGGTTTGGGTTGGATCAAGAAAATGACATTTAACATTGGCAAGTGGCAACTGAAATCCACCAACAAACAATCTATCAAGTTCCTAACCCTGCACCACCGCCAACTCCTTTAGCACTGTTCACCTAATTAGACACCATCAACTAATAGCTACTAAACCACTATTAGCATAAACACCACATAGAACAGAACCAGCAAGCAAGCCAGCAACAACTTCATATTTCATAAAGGAAAAATGCATAAATTGCCATATAAATCCAGTAAATCCAACAAAAGGTTTATAAAAAATAAAAGCATAAATTGCAACTGTCATATATGTCTAGATTCAGCAAAGTTGATAGGAAAAAAAATGCATAAACTGCTGCCAACATGTCCAGCAATAAGTTCATTAAAAAAAAGCACATAAAAGAGTCTAAAAAGTGGCACATGCGTACATATCCATCCAATCCAGCAAAGCAAACTCTACAGCAGCAACTTTAGCTAGGCTTGATTAATAATTTCAAGTTGAAGAAATAACTTCTTGAAATAAAAACAAATACCCCAAATTAACAAAATTTTAGAAAATTTTCTTTATATAATAGTTTATATAAAAAAAACATTATTGTTTAAAATTTACCTCATACTCATCCTCCTCATTATCATTCTCCTCCAACTCCTCAAATAGATTGAAGAAATTTCCATTATTGTTAGAACCTGAATTGCAAACATAATAAAAGTTTAGAATACAAATTCAAAAATAAGAAAATAAGAGAAATATAGCCTTAATTTAATACCCTTCAGATCTTTCTTCAACCAAATCTTGAAGACACAT